ACATACACAGACACAGACACAGACACAGACACAGACACAGACACAGACACAGACACAGACACAGACACAGACACAGACACAGACACAGACACAGACACAGACACAGACACAGACACAGACACAGACACAGACACAGACACAGACACAGACACATACACAGAAACAGACACAGACACATACACAGACACAGACACAGACACAGACACAGACACAGACACAGACACAGACACAGACACAGACACAAACACACACGCACACGCACACGCACACACGCACGCGCACGCGCACGCGCACGCGCACGCGCACGCGCACGCGCACGCACACGCACACGCACACGCACACGCACACGCACACGCACACGCACACGCACACGCAAACGCAAACGCAAAACACAAAACACAAAACACAAACACAAACACAAACACAAGCACAAGCACAAGCACAAACACAAACACAAACACAAACACAAACACACACACACACACAAACACAAACACAAACACAAACACAAACACAAACACAAACACAAACACAAACTGATGAAAATATATGGGCAGCAAACCCTTTTACATGATGGCGTGAGCCAAACATCCATTCGATGCCTGGCATGTCTCAACTTATGGCAAACGTGATTTCTGAACACCCCTCCTTCCGCTACAGGGCTAGCTCCACTAGACCTTGGCGGATTCGAGGGCCTTAGCTCCTCTGGCTGTGCCAGTCTCAAAGACTTGGTTCATTGTGCTCATGTGCCGCTCGCAAACTTCGCGAGTCATTGGCTTTGTGAGCAAATCTGCAAGATTCTTGCGTGTGTTGACAGCTTCAAGCTTCAGGTCTTCACACGCTACTCGTTCCTGCAGCCAAAGGAACCTTGTCTGTACATGCCTGAGCTTACCTAGACCTCTCCTCGATGCTGTGCCACGTGCTGCAGAGCTGTCTGACAAAACTGTGACTGAAATTTCGATTACCCAATCTGCTAACAATGCCTTCCGGTCACTTCGAGACACTCGCTGATTGGACGTTTTACGTACACTTCTGCACGTCTGATCCAGCTCAACTCATCTTGTCTCGCTGCATTCACTTTGTCGTTATCCAACACCACTCCTGTGTTGGCATCATAGTAGACTGCATCACCTCCGTTCTCCTCATTGCTGGGGCAAAATGCCTCCTGGTCTTCTTCACTTGGGAAAAACTCCTCATCGGGAATTGCTCCCACTCCTACACTGTGTAAAGCAGCAGTGAAAACTCCATCTGCTTCCAGCTGCCTTCTGAGTCCTTTCAACTGCTTTGACGATCTCTGGTGGATAAACCTTGGCGTGTCTGGCTCGTCCATTCACAAGCATCACATGCCTGTGCCATGGCTTTCCACTTCCATCTTCGTTGCTGCAGCTTGCTGAAAGAATTTCTGCCAGCTCGGAACTGTTGGTCATCCAGCCGGTCGGCTTCTTGACCAATCCTCTGCCTGCGCTGTCTTCCGAGGTCATGTGCCAATGGCACATTGCCCCTTTGACAACTTGAACACCTGGCAGTGCTTGCACTTCCTTCACACACTTTTCGTTCCAGCTGCTAGCACCCCATGGATGCTCATGAAGGAAATACCTCTTTCGGCGAACTTGTTCCTTGTAGAATTCGCAAGCTGTTTTCAACTTCTTCCTGCCTTCAGCTCTTCTCGCTAACCTTTCTTCGGTTACTTCCTTTCTCAAATTTTGGAGAGCACTGAACTGGTCACAGCAAGGTGATCCCGTCAACAACATAGGATCATCGAGCTGTACTTTGTGCTTCAATGTGAAACATCTGTCTTCTTTGTCAAGTCCCAACCTGTCTCCAGGTCCACTGCGAAACCTGGCTTGAGACCGTAATTTTCCGCCATTGTGGTGAAACGGGGCGGACTGAAAATCTCCGCAATGTCCACATTGAAAATCTGAAATTCCTGTGCAATTTCGGATGCATCTTGTTCTGAGCACTCTAATCTCTGCTGTAGAAAATCTGTGAAACTGTGTCTGCACTCGCCTCCGCTCCGCCACTTGGTGCTTGTGGTTGAACTACTGGGCTCCAGAACGCCTGGTGACTAATGTCTGCACCTGGAGCTGCGGACCCTGAACCTCCTCCTACCTGCGTGGGAGGTAGTACAGGTGGTTCGATTGCTGGCATGTTGATCACGTCAGCAACATCTGCATCTCCGTAGAGTTCATCAAGTGTTTCACTCGGTGACCTCTTTTCCCCTTTCTTTGGACTAGTTTTCGGAGTCTTGGGACCCAAGCTCCGACTCTGCTTTCCGCTTTTCAGGTGCGCCAAGAGCAACGGGCGCCTGAACTTCATGGTCTTCGGGATCCGGGTCGTGTGCTCAACTGGATCCGCGATTTCTTCGTTCCTTGTCTGACCCTACATCTGGTTCTTTTGCTTCCGTCTTTCTGCGTTTCGCATCTTCTAGTCTCTTTCGTCCTTCCTCGCTCCTCGCGAGTTTCTCTTGGATTCTTGTCCTGCAAGCATCGCTGTGAGTTATTGCAGGCAGTCCCACAATGATGGCATCACACCCTAGACATGCTGGGGTGTAATCATCTGATCCATCTTCTTTCTTCAAATCCTTCCTTCTCACATACAGGTTTCCCGGCCCGCCATCGCGGCCGACTGGTGTCAGCCTGCCCGGTCACTAGTTTTATCTTGCTATCCACTGTTTCTTCGCCATCTCTGCGCGGTCTCAGTTTTGAACTCCAACAAGCTTGTCGAGCCCCTCCTTAGACCAACGCTCTCCCGGTGGCATACGGTGCACCGTGTTTCCTTTCAGTACGCCTTCCTCAGTCATGCAAAGGACGTCACAGTTGCGCCCGTGGGTGCCAACACAGCGCCCTTCCATGACCTTGGGATCTCTGTCCCCTTTGTCTGCCATGTAGGCCTGAAGAGGCCTAAGCCACACTCGCTCACCGAACTGCACCATTGGCCTTTGCCACCTTCTACCAGTCAACTGCTGATGCGGTGTCTTTCCGTCATCGCCTATGGAAAAACGACTCAAACAAAACGCGGCATGTCTTGACACCCAAACTAACATTGGGGTGCGTGTCTGGGATTCTTCCCCAAACATTCATCGAGCTCACTTTTGAGTGCCCGAACCTGCCTTTTCTGCTCTCGCACC